ACTTCTCATCAATTGGTACCAGAGCCAACGTTATGGCGCAAGGCCGGTCCTATGTGATTTAGTGCAAGTATGGTGGAAAATTCACATATAGTAGTGGCTGAGGATAGTTAAACATCATGACATGGGTCGACACATGGAGGTCGTGGGTTTAGATAACAGTCTAGTTAAATATGTGAAGCTACATGTATGTTAGAAAAATGGTGGCCACGTCGCATTCTGATGGTTTCAGTTTCTGCTCACAATGAATATGAAGAGGATGTTGAGTATTCATGTGTGAGTATAGTCTCATATCATATAAGATAAGAAAGAGTTGTGAGTTTAAAATAGAAGTTGTGACCAAGTTACGGCCAGTATCTGGTAGCTATAACTGGCTCTGATCCAAATTATTCTAGTATCTTGATTTTCATCACCAAAAATTTGGTGGGAGAAAAAGCTCAGTATTCGAAAAAGAAAAATTAAAAATAAATATAAATTCCACCTCATAAATAAATCTTTTTAAATCCAAATAGAAACCCACCCACACCAAAGCTTCCTTGTATAAAAAAGTTATGTAGGTTTTGTGTTCATCATTTTTTAACTAAACACTAAACTTGCATTGAAAATACATTTCCTAGAACATAATTTTAAATTTCCAAATAATGAATTTAAAGTTGATTTTCTGTAGAAAATGTTGTATGCAATATTTATTGTTGTAACATTTGTTGTAATTTATTTTTGTAGTAATTTGAAGGACGACTATTTATTTAAAACATTCAAAACAATTCACCTTTAATATTTCAACTATAATAACTTGTATTGCTTTTTTTCTGCTAGGTTTTCATATTTCAATCCCTCTATTTACTTAAAGAGTCCTAGGGATCTAACAACGATCTCACCTCCTTAAATTTTACGGCCTAGATGGTCATATTTCAACCACTCTATTGTTTGGGCTCCTCACTCTCTTAACTTCCATATCAGTATCCGCTAACGAGGCTCTGTCGTTATAATTTATTAGGGTTTAAACGATACAATGGAATATATCCTTCCAAGTTACACAGTTCATAATTAAGGATTATTAGAACTGAAAATCAACCTACATAATCAAGAAGCAAAATAGTTATAGAAACACAAGAAATTTTTTAACGAGGGAAAATCCTTGCGAGAGAAAAAAAAAACTCTAGGCTACGTACCCACCGAAAATATTTCATTATATTAAAAATATAAGCTTTGCTAAAGGGACTCAAAATATGGGACCAACAGGGAGGACAGGTGAGGTGTCCCCCTCCTATTGCATAATGAGCTGGTCATCATTAAATTGCGAACATACTCCCTGTAGTGTTACTCATTTGCAAAGAGTCCGCATATATTTGTTGCGATTAGACCCAGCACAACTCTATTTGCTATGAATAGAACTCTTGTAGTATTAGCCCAAGTGCAAATACACTCCATTCGATAATTTGAAGACTAAATTATTAACTCATTAAATAAGTTTAATTTTAGTCATTATGATCAGTTTTAGTGTTTGAGAATAACAATGATTTTGACTATTTCCTTTATAATTAGTATGATTAACTCTTAATTTTTCTAAATAGGAGTATTAGTAAATCCCTCATTTTGAGGGGGTAACTCATTTTAATCCCTCTAGAGGGGTTAGCTTAACTCTTCTATATTTTTTATGTTTGGAAAATTATGGAGGGTTAACTCACTTTAAATCTTGTATAGATTTTTTGTGTTTGGCGAGTTAAGAAGGGGCTAAGTCTCCTCAACCCCTCACTTAACCCTTTGCCAAACGGTACCTTAGCGATCTTTTTTGGCTCTTTTAAAATTTTTTAAAAAAAATAGCAATTGGGTGTCTATCCTCACCAATAAAACTATGGGAGGTCTATCCACCTGCTCAAACATTTTTTATGATTATAAGTGTAATTTTTTTTTCACTCTACGGGAGGTCTACTTACGACAAGTAGAACTACAGGAGGTATGTTTGCAGCAAATAAAACTACAAGAGGTCTCTTTGCAATTAGATGATACTATAAGGGGTCTGTTGCATTTAAACCTGATTTATTTGAGGATCTAGCCAAAATCAAGCACCAAGTATGATTTTCTCGGCATAGAGAGGAACACAACAAACAATCCCCTGCAAGTTGCTTATAATCACTTCTTGACAAATTAGTTCTTTTATTTACGGAATTAGTATAAATTATATTTGCTCTACATATGTCCTCAATAGTTTTATAGGCATGCAACATGAACCTTTCTTCTTTATGCGCATTTAGAATATATTTTACCACTTTCCTTTAAAGCCGGAAGCCTATTCTAGTTTCTCCACCCACCGGCCTTGTGTCCTTTTGTTTCTTCACGTGATGATTTTTTGGACAGTGTTGGTATTGTTTTTTTATTTTAATTAAAGAACTTTTATACCGGAATAAATGAAATAACAATGGATTTGGACAGCTCATCCTTCAAGATTAGCCTAAGCTGAGCTTACGATAAAGAAACATTTCAGAGACCTATGTGGCCCCAAGAATGATGCTATTTTATTTCCCTCGTTGNGGGTGGTACATTTGACAAAACTATCATAAAGTACTACGGGTTTTATAAAAGTAAAATTAACATAAAGTATATGCTTATTCGTGAGAAATTTGTGTATAGTTTTAAATATATGGAAAATATAACAAGTATTGAAACAGTATCCTAATAACATGGAAAATATATGGACAAAAATATTCAAAATATGTCACTATGTGTACCACATGACAGCTTTACGCTATCGGTCATGATAGTTTAATGAGAAATATTAATGATATTTTTTCAAAAAAAAATTAATATGATTTTATCTTCCAAATATTTTAAGAATTTATATATTATAGGTTCGTAAAAACGTATTCGTTTTTTCTTTATATGCATGCGTCTGATCTTTTTGTTTTAATAACATTACATTAGCTGTATTTATGGAATGATAATTTCTAATTGGCCTCAGATTTGATTAAGGTAATGAGAAGTTATTACGGTGTTTATTAAAACATAACCAGGTCTTAACTTTATGCTAAACCAAGATTGGCAGTATTTTTAAATCCTAATCACGACTAACTTTCATCTAAACCAAGATGGTTTGGAGTCAGCACACTGTTTTAATGTGCATGTGCGGTGCGCGTGCTACAGTTGCGTGGCTCAGGCTGTTGAGGACCTAATTTGGGCTGCGCTACGATTTAATTAATTGGCCCATTTTAACAATTACCATGTCCACAAAAGGCCCTTTTATGGGATCAGACGCTGATGTAGAAATTTAGCCCAGATTTCCAAAGACTGTACCAGGGTTTCAAGGGAACTAAAACTGATGGGGAATTCTATGGGATTTACAAAACGCCCCTCAATAGTTTTAATTTGACCAAATTCCCACGATTTTAGGGGTCTTCAAATCACCTTGACTTTCAAAGTCAGAGAACACCCCCCTCAACTATGGTGTGTCTCACAAAAACATATAACCTTGCATTTTTCTCAAAAAACCCTCTTGAAGTCATTAGCTCAAAATGTGAAATGACCTAAGTATCTTTTTCAAAAAAACTCATCACGGTTTAAATAGTGTTCCAACCATTAAAAAAGACTCTGAGCTATTTAGTGTATTTTTTCCCTCTCGCTCCTCTCTTTTTATCTCCTCTTTTCTCTAATCCTGTAAAAACTTGGGCTGATATTTTTTTGGCTGAGCGGTGTTTTAGACGTTTTAATCCACATGCTTATCAAATGAAATGTTCAACAGTGTTAGTTATGGGTGTTAAGTGAGAAAATTCATGAGAGAGGTTTTCATGAGAGAGAGGTTTTCTCAAATGTTTAAAGTTGAGGTGTTACTGCAGTACCCTCAAACTTGAAGAGAGTTTACTCAAATTAAGATAGTTGATATGGGTTTTGAGACACTGTCTATAGTTGAGGGGTTTTTTTAAAATTAATTCAATTTTGTATTTTTTTTTTTTTGTTAAAATAATGTATCTACATTCTTACATGTAGTCTATGTAGAAAATATATAAATTATGAGCATGTTTGTTGAAGGGTGCCTAATCATGATGTTAAGTAAGTTTCGCAACTTGGCCCAAATGGATTGTTGATATAATCCTTTTTCTTTTCGGATTATGATTAATTTTGCATGTTGGATAACTACAGCTAAGTGGATTATTTTGGATTATAATCCATTACAAAATAATCTAGGATTCCCAGCTTATTCTTTTGGTGAGCTATAATCCACGTGTTTGATCGAGTAAAAAACATGATTCTAGTTTTGTGTAAGGGCCAGTTTGGTTCATAGAAAACAAGTGGAGAACACGAAAAAAATATTGTCGTTGGTTTTCTTTGTCAGAAAGTGTCAAAACCGATTCCTATTGATCTGTTTGTTTTGATAAAAAGATTTTAGAAAAAGTTCTCCTAAAATGTACGAAATAGGTCACCATTTCACAAAATACCAATTCCGCGATATTATTGGGGAATTGGGTTGAAGACATATCATTTATTATAAAAAATGTTTTGACAAATAAGTTAAGAATGGATCGTTTTTTACAAATAAATTTAAAAAAAAAGGTTTGTTTTCAAAATTGACAATCATCCTGCGTGCCTCCATTACTGAGTGCTCCTCTAAAATCGCTTCTTTGATCTACATGGAGCAGTAATTTCTACTCGACGACCTCCTTTCCTGGGGTGTTTGGGGTCAGATCTCAGCCTTTTTCCTATCAACGAGACCAAAACGCGAACTCCTGAAGGTAAAAGTATTCTTAGTTTTGAGTATGGAATCAGTGATGCAGTCATATTCCAAATCAAGACCTGGGAGCTGAAATTTTCTTCGATAAATTAAATAATGTTAACATAAGCGAGAGACCTAGATGTTAAATATTTTGCATATGTAATATATCATAGAGAGAGAGAGAGAGAGAAATGGGTAAGATTATATATCTTAAAGATTGTTTTGCTAAGAAGCACGAAACAGAAACATATTTCTTGGAGCCACCAAAATGACCAAATGCAACAACAATCAACGAGCAAAAACAAACGCAGGAAACCAAGGATTAGTTGAGGGGGGGAAAGAATAAACCATCTCAGTTTTCCCTTCATGCGTGTTCTTTCTTAAATCATCAGTCATAAACTGGAAGCGTATTCCAGAGTTGAAGAAATCACATGCACCATAAACAAATAATCTAAAAGAAGTCTTTAAAACCAAAGCGTATGTTAATTTAGTTGTATAAATCATCATCGTCTGCAGCCGCAGCAGAGGTTGCAAAGGGGTCAGATCCAGCGCCAGCGGCAGGCTCGGACCGCTCTGAGAAGCGGAACTCGCTCCCGAAACCCCTAGACTGCTGAAGGGTCTGGGCGAATGCCTGGTACTTGCGAATGTCAGCGTCACTGACACTTCTTCGAGCGAATTTCATGGATTCTTCAAAGTGAGCGGCTTTGATCTCTGCGACCTCATCGACCTCGTCTTCCTCCATTGCTTCAGGGTTCTCACCTCTCTTCCTTTCCCTTTCGATGTCCTGTGAAGAAACAACCCGTTGATGGTCAAGATACATAAAGATAATACACTTCTTACGTGAACCCTAATTCCAATGCACTCCAATCCATATTAATAGTAAAAAGGTTAAACGCAGATGCAAGCCCTACAGGGAATTAGTCACATGGTACTCCTCAACTTTTTGTTTTTTAATTCACTTGTCCATCCTCGATGCCCAAAGAAAGCTCTCCGCGACAATTGTGCGTCAAGTAGCGTCAATGTGTAACAAGAAACCCCTATAATATTTCAGTGTTTTGCAAAAGGACCCCCATCGTTCACTGATGGTTGACAACTGTAGCATAGTACAAATTGGAGGTGGAGATAATTTGTTGCAACTATTAATTTAAAAAACAAGGGTAAATAAATGGCTGGCGGCCTAAGTACAGTACAAGAGATGTATCCTGAATTTAACCCCAGCAGAGAAATGAGAAGGAACCAAATGACGCAAGGAAGCTCAAGCACTCAAAAGGGAACAAACGGATAAATAAGACTTCCTCCTAAACACTGGGGATTGGTTCTATAAACAAAAAACTGTGGAGCTCTTCCTATGAAGAAATCTACTGTCACTACAACATTTTGTAAGAACCATCACCATGTTCATAAAGATTTGCACGGATACAGACAGCCTGGGAGCTAGTCCAAGACTGACGCTAGCAAAATGTAATATGAGAAGAAATTGATGATAGAATCAGTGGTGGAGCAAGAATTCTTATGTGTCTGTGTTTCTTTTTCTTCTTTTTTTTGGGTGTAGGTGTGGGTGGGTGGGTGTTGGGGGGGGGGGGGGGGGGGGGTAAACATAAGTTCCATATAATATTTAATAATAAAATCAACTTCAATGCCAGGATCTGGTATGCTTTCTCATTCAAAGATATATCATCATAATTTTTTTTTAAAGACATACAATTACATAGAACAATATAAGAAAGAGAAGTGAGAAAGGTACTCATAGGTAATGCAAATTCCAAACTTTTGAGGGGTTTACAATTATTTTATCCAATCTAATAATTATTGGTAGTATACATTCCAAAAGGTTTTTTCCCTTTTTCTGGGGTGGTTTTGTGTATGTGTGTGTGTGTGTGGTGGGGGGGTGGGTGGGGGAAGAGAAATATATATATAAAATGATGATAGAATAGCAATTTTGCATTAGTATCAACAGAATATAAATTCAATTGACTAACCAAGGTGTTTCATTAAGTTCACATATGGTTCAAAAAGGGATTCTACCATCTAAATTGGTTTAAAAAATCAATCATCAATGCACAGTGCCAACAGGAAAATGTTGTTATCAAAGTTCTAATCAGAAATTCTCAATTAGTATGGGCTGAAAGAAGATGGAAGAAAGACACCAAAAGGGATCACAACAGCAATAATAACCACATGATAACATAAGATGAGATAAATGAGATTCAGGCCATCAAGCAGACTCCCGAAGCAACATAATAAGATCTTAAAAGCGGCAGAAAACTGGTTCTAGAATAACCTAGTTCAAGTCTGGCTCTCAATTTGCAGGCATACTTGCTATAATAGTACTTTTAACTTGTCATATTTTGATGTGATATTGTGATAAGAAGACTACAATATCTGAAACTTGAATCTAAAAAATGAAAACTAGTAATGGACAAATAATAAAACAAATGACAGCTCTAATTCATCTCTGCATACATATGATGATGAAATCTTGCAAAATACATTTAACGAAAATATTAAATTAGCAAGCATACCTTCTCAATATTCTCCCTGATGGCATATTTACAAGCACGCTGACAGATTTCGGTAATATCCGCACCACTGAATCCTTGAGTATACTTTGCAAGAGCCCTCAAGTCAACGTCCTTTGAGACAGGCGACTTCCTCAAGCAAGCTTTAAATATTTGGAGGCGAGAGGCCTCATCAGGCAAAGGAATATAAATTAACTGATCAAGACGTCCTGGCCTAAGCAATGCTGGATCTATAATGTCTGGCCTGTTAGTGGCCCCAATGATGAAAACAGTTTTCTTTGCAGACATTCCATCCATCTCTGTGAGAAGCTGGTTGAGAACCCTATCAGCAGCACCTCCTGCATCACCGACGCTGCTTCCTCTCTGCAACAGCAAATAGATATTATAAACTCAATTCAAAAGTAAACAAGAAATCGCAGATTTCAAAAATGAATTGAAGAGAAACCTGAGTAGCAATTGAGTCGAGCTCATCAAAGAAAAGGACACACGGGGCAGACCCGCGAGCCTTATCAAAGATCTCACGAACATTTGCTTCACTCTCCCCAAACCACATTGTGAGCAATTCAGGACCCTTGATACTGATGAAATTTGCCTGGCACTCATTGGCAATTGCTTTAGCTAACAAGGTTTTACCACAACCAGGAGGACCATAAAACAAAACTCCTTTTGAAGGAGACATTCCGAACTTCTCAAACTTCTCAGGATGCTCGACTGGATATTGAACAGTCTACAAAAAACATATGAAGCAAGGTCAGCCAACTGCTAAAAACTAATAATAAATAGTGATGCAGCCTCCACCAGAAAATTATCACCTCTTGGAGTTCCCTCTTAACGTTGTCAAGCCCACCAATATCTTCCCAGCTGACATTGGGCACTTCGACCACCTGATAAACAAAGAAACCAAATGAGACATTTAATGAAACTCTTTCAAACCAGTTCATACAAGATACAACTCAGGGGACATGCAACTTACTGTTTCACGGAGAGCTGAGGGATTGCTAGTTCCAAGAGCAGTCTTAAAGTGTTCATCTGTAACAGCCATTGAGTTGAGTATTTCTGCATCTATAGAATCGTCTTCTAAGTCGATGACATCCATTTTTTCCCTGATACATTGAAGGGCAGCTTCAGTGCAAAGGGCTGCAAGATCAGCACCAACGTAACCATGAGTTTCTTTGGAAATTCTTTCCAGATTGACCTGCATGGTAGAAATAGAGGTCAGATAAGCAACAAAGTAACGAGGAATACTCGAATGACCAAAATGACTCAAGGATACAATCGCACATGAAAGGGAAGAAATTTTTCCAATTACACTTACATCTTCAGATAGCTTCATGTTCTTGGTATGAATGCGAAGCACCTCAAGCCTGCCAACTTCATCAGGGACTCCAATGTCGATTTCCCTGTCAAATCTCCCAAACCTTCTAAGAGCAGGGTCTATGCTGTTAGGCCTGTTTGTAGCGCCAATAACGATTACATGAGCACGGGATTTCAAGCCATCCATTAAAGTTAGTAGCTGAGAAACAATCCTCCTCTCCACTTCCCCATTAGTCTTTTCTCTCTTGGGAGCAATTGAGTCAATCTCATCAATGAAGATGATTGATGGAGCATTCTTCTCTGCTTCCTCAAAAGCCTTTCTCAGATTGCTCTCACTCTCTCCAGCCAGCTTTGACATGATCTCTGGACCATTGATACAGAAGAAAAATGCACCAGTCTCGTTTGCAACTGCCCTGGCAATCAGTGTCTTACCCGAACCAGGAGGTCCATAGAGAAGGATACCCTTAGGTGGCTTCACACCAATAGATTTGAACAGTTGAGGATGTCGCAGAGGAAGCTCAACAAGCTCTCTGATCTGAGCCATTTGCTTGCGCACTCCACCAACATCATCATAGCCGACTTCATCTAGTCTGTCTTCATCCTCCCTTTTCACAGGTTCACCCTCACAAAAGATCTCCGTGTCAGGAGACACAATGCAGTACTCAGGTGGATCAGTTTCTATAACCTTAAATTCAACACTTCGCATGCCTCCTCTGACAAGGAAAAGATCCCCCTTCCTGAGAGGACGATATGCCTCGAGGAAATATGCTATAAAACAACCAATAAATTAGGAAAAACAATATTTTAGAACTGGAAAGGGAAAAGAAAGAACATTTCTGTGTGAATATTAATACTTAAAAAAACAGACTACACACATGATGGAAAAAAACTGGGCAAAAACCAATGTGATTCCTACCTTTAGAGCATGTTTGGCAAGTGGTCAAAGTGGCTATATAAGCCACAAAAGTGGCTTATAAGCCATTTTAAAATGTTTGGCAAATGGTTTAATTTGGCTTATAAGCCACCAAAAAATAAGTTGTAATATCCTAGCTTCTTTTTGGGTGGCTTATAAGCCACAAGTTTTAGCCAATTAAAAATCCAATATACCCCTCACAATTCACAAAATTCCAAGTCCCATTTATCTCAATCAATCCCATTAAATGTTTTTGGGTCATTTTGACGATAATGATAGCTTATAATCCACTAGAACTTACCAAACAATTGGACTTATAATCCATTGTTTATAATCCATTTGTGGATTGTAAGCTAAATGGATTATAACCAAAATTTCCAAACATGCCCTTACGTAAAGACATCATATACGGCCACATAAAAAAGGCATACGCTTCGTCGAATTCAAATCATAAAAAGTCAATTCTTGTATCTAGTTATAAAAAAGGCCCCAATTTGTGTTCAGCATATGCCATATATTAGATCAAACTTAAATCAAAGGACTCGTATATATCAAATAATAAAAACTCGCACTATTACCATCCCATACAAGTGCACATGCAGTATGTGCTAGTTGGAAAAACTAAGAGGGTGTTTGGGGGACCTTGTATATTAATCAAGGTAGCTTTTATGCTAGCATATCGATATCTACATGTTTGGTGACATCTTAAATAAGCTAGCTTACAAGCCATATTTTAAAAAGTTGAGGTTCCTAAACTTTTCAAAAACTAGTTCATAGGCTTATCTAAACAAGTTAAGTTTGACTAAATTAATGACTTTTTATGCTTGGAAGTATTCTAATTTTTTTTTTTTTCATAAAAGCCAAAAGTCGCAAAAAGCTGGCATAACTTATAAGCTTCAACAAATAAGCTCTCAAACACTCTCTAAATTAAAGACTGGAAAGAGCATGGTTTACAGATGATTATAAATAATAAATAAAGGGAAAAAACAGATTCTTTTTCAGATTTGGGATAGAAGGCTTTGTTACTGCTGTTTATTGACAAATCAAACAAGAGAACAAATAAAAAAATACAAGAGACATAAATAGGAAGTGTCATCATCAATGATCAGATTGGGATCACTAATCACCAAAAAAAATTTGTTCAATGTCAATTATCCTAATGATCTATATTACAACTTTATCAAATATTACCCCCACCTACCTGCAAGTAGGTATGCTCAATGGACCAAACCATGCAAAGATATATTGCTTAGACATTATAGTAAAAAGCAGGAACACACACAACATCAACAATGGCAGCATATTTCATGAGTAAAAACACTAATCATAAAGTAGATGACAATTAACAACAAAAGCAAACGTTGCAGTTAGCATATCAATGAAATAACCATAAGAAATAGAGAAAAGTTATCGAGAAATATCCTTCTTGATTACAATTGGGGTAGAAACTTACGCTTCAAGTACGCATCAAAGAGGTTCCCAGTGACACCTTCAATGGTATCATCAATAGGGAGTATATGTACTCGCTGCCCATACTTAACATCCTGACACTGATGGACAGACACCACATCACCTAGCCTCACCCTTAGGTTTGATCTGACAACCTTGTTCATCCTGATTTTTGGTTCTTCACACGTTTCGTCAGCAAGTGCAATACATATGGTGTCCTTCCTCTTCTTACCCTAAAGACAAAATAAAAATAAGCATAATTATAGAAACCCACGGAAACAACAAAATTGCTGCAATGTAATGAATATCTTTGCTTATTATCCTACTCTTGGACCAATAAAGCAAATATAATTGAGGCATAAGATTGACAATAAATTACTCAGTTCACAAGGCATTGATACAACGATGCAGGTTATGGATTTCATAAATATCAAACATGCCCTAGTATAAACTAGCTAAAATACACACAACTCAAAATAAAATCCTAGTAACTATAAAATCCCTAAGTGAAGACATAATAAGGTCCATAAATAGTAAACTCGAACTAATCTACTCCTGATGTCTAAATAATCAACAGCATTAGGATCAAAAGTGAAGGTTGCCAAATGACAAATCATAAAGGTTTCTCTAAGCTGAAAATTAAGAGCTAAATAAGTCCCTAGTCCCTACAGTAACTAATAATGTCCCTGATCTTCTTAACATTAATACAAATCTCTAGATCACAGCTAGATTCTGAGATCACGGTGGAGAAACAAGTGTGGTAAAGCCTAAAATCCAAAGTAAGAATTGACCAATAAAAGATCCCAATTTCAATAAAGACCGAAACTTTATGGATTCAACAAACAGATCTCAATTCCAAACCCCTTATCCCCCAATTTCTCAAATCCGAAACCCTAATTCCATCAGAACCCATAGAAAAATACCCAACAAAACACCCTAACTCCCAAAAATCCACCTCCAACCCCTAAATTCAAGCAAATACTCTCACCTTTAAAAGGATCGTATCACCACGAAACAGCTGGAGCTTCTCCATCGTATCAGGATGCATCGAAACCACGGAGTTGTCATCATTCACGGCCTCATCGACCACCAATCGATTCGCCGCCTTCTTCCGCTCGAGAATCGCAGTACTAAAGTCCTTCTTCGATCCCTTACTGCAAACAAAATTAAAAAAAACCCTCAAAATCACGAAATCAGGTCAAAATCTGATCAATTTAGGGGGAAATAGGGACGAAACTTACGGATCTGAAGAAGATCCTTCGCCTTGACCGCCGCCTGAAGCCATTGGAATCGATCGATTGAAGAACGAAGAAAAATCGCCCGATGAGAAAAAAGATCTAGAGAGAGAGGGGGCAGGAGAGGAGAGGGAATTATATAGGGGTTTTTGTTGGAGTCGGATTCGGAGTCGAAATCCTTGGTGAGCACGAAATCCAGAAGGTTCTGTTCTGGGTTTCACCCGATAGCCCGAATCCGAATTGGGCTAGCCTTGTTTTAGACCGAATAAAACCAAACAGTGGTTGATTGCTATAAGCCTATAACTCGAGGTTTCTATTATTGTTGGAGTTCTTATTGGATAGAGATTCTGAGATAGATTTCTTATTTATGAAATTCTGATTTAGATGAAAGATTCTGATTATTTTTTTTATTCAGTTATTAAAGGAAATGGATGGGGATAGCCTTGATATTTATGCGGCCCATGTGGTTTGTCCAGTAATAATAATACTTTATTATTATTATTATTATAAAATTATATCATATCATACTTCCTTTAAAATTACTAGTTTGGGAAAAAAAATCTTGATCAATATCATCTTTTACTTTTTTAGATATTTTATTTAAATCTTAATCTATCATAATCATAATTATATCCTATCTTAATCTCATGTGAATTACATATAGCTCAATAATTAAAAAAAGATAAAGTTACATGAAATATTACAACAATAATAAAAAAACCAAAAAGTTTTAAAAAATACACAAAATACTCTCAAATATTTAAAATTACAAACACCATCACATATCAAAACTTAAAATAATAAACATGAAATTTAGAAATTAATTGTATCCTCCGAAAAATTTAAAATTTAAAATTAGCACCCTTAATATTTTAAAATTTATAGAAACACCATTTTATATTATAAAAAAACACCCTCTAAACTTGCAAACAACATAGATGAATTCTAAGGATTACCATCAAACTTGACCATAGATTCCCCTTTCCCCACCATAAAAAAACTCTTTGTCGCATCAATTAAGCCTCAGGTATAATAGAGAAAGATAATACCATGTAAACACCAATGAGTTTAAATGATAATAAATAGTTAAAGAAATAATAAGTAGCTAACATACTATAATACATGAATTACTGTCAAAAACTAAATGTTTCAAAAATTGCACAAAACACCTTCAATATTCAAAATTACACAAAACATCTTGACTTTTCAAAACTTAAAACAACGAACATAAAATCTAGAAATTAGTAGTAGCCCCCTAAAATTTAAAATTTGTAATTAACACCCTCCATTTTTTAAATTGTAGAAAGACCCTCAAAAGTTCAAAATTACAAAAAAAATCATGAAATTTGAAAAATATATTGATAGATTAAAATTTAATATCATTGTCTAAGTAAAAGTAATTACATATAATTTACTCATAAGTTGGAATATCAAAAATACAGATGTAGCATTAATTGATAGAAAACTAAATAACTTAAAATTGATAAAAGACAGTAATATAATGGTTTAGCATTAATTGATTATATTTTATAAACATTTTTCTGTGATGTTAGTAATATTCATAGGGTAAAAAATTTAGGTATAGCACATTCAAACAAATATTAAAGAAGATAAATAATCATAATATTAAATTTTAGAGACATAAGTGAGTAATAAATAATCGCAATAGCTAATCTTTTTTTACTCTTAGAGGAGCCGAAAAAGTTCATTGAGAGGGGTTATCCATACTTGTGCGAATACTACATGGTGTCTATCTGTATAAATAAAATTACGGGTCTATCCGCAACTTGGTGACGGTGCAAAAGTCTATTCGCAATTAATAACAAAAGTTTAATAAAAAGACAGGCTTATAATTATTCGCTAGGAAAAGTAACTAATGTTCTCTAAAACTTTATGAAATACAAAGTAATTCAAATTTTCAGTGAACTGCATAGCTTTGCCCTTGGCATTGTACCATTGTATGATTTCATATTCTGCAAAGACTTAGTATATACGTGTTATAATATAGGGGGAAATTGATATAGTATGGCTGCTCATTTTGAGACATAAACTACTAAGAGATATTTATGTGATGAGGCTCATCCTAATTATCACGTCAAAAGCTGCGGGTCTTACCACTTTATCTATTAGTAGCTCATTCTGTTAATTGAACTATCACCTTATACCTATCCAATCCTAAAATACATTTATTAAAAAAAGTAATGTTAGAATATAAACTTATAAAGTAAATCCAAACTGTAATTTCAGAGTTTCCGTAGAGTGAAAGAAAACTTTAACAGTACAAAATGATAAGAGTGAAATGTTCTATGAGGAAAAGATGCTTGCACGTCATAAGGATTTAAGGAATGTGCTTGGCTCTGGTTGTAAGCAATAACATGTGCAACATAAAGAGGAACTAGAGGCAATTCATGCGTAATATGTTAAAGATATGGGCACAACCTGCGCTACGATGGAACATAGCTAACCAAATCAAAGTTTGCAAGACATGATAAATATAAATAGTGGGGGAAACATAATAGGATTAGTTTTTTTAATTGGATATTGGGTTAATTTAAGAAAACCTTCTGATTTTTTTTATTTCACTAATCTCATGAACCTTAGGATTATTGCACATAACCCTCTAGACATGTTAATTGCGACACCTGAAAATTGCTCATTTTCATCCCTCAAATTAGTGTCATCAACTCAAATATGTCATGTGGTATGTGCATCACGAAAAAGGTGAAATAAATCTTCAGTCCTAAAAAGATTAAAAAAAATCCTTCTGTCTTTTTTAATAAAAGAATATTTTTTTGTAATTAAGAAGAAGCGCATGCCATATAAGAGTTGATGTTGCTAATAGTAAAATCTCTCTTTTAAAGGAGTAGTGATAACTGTACAAAAGAGTTATACTATACCTGTACTCCTACACACAAGAATGTGAGATTTTTTTTGTAAATTGTAAAATAAAATTATGAGTTGTGATAGACTGTACTTCTCTTATAGTACACTTATAATTTACTTTTTCAAAGAGGATAATATTGATTAGTATTAAATGTAGGTTTAAGTTTTAGCAAGGCAAGGCCTATTATCTTTCACTTTAGGGTCCGTTTGGATAATGGAAATATTGGAAGTAAGAAGTTGGTTACAGAAGCAACTTTCAAAACTATGAAATAGGAAGTAGCGGAAATAGAATTTTTTTGTTTGTTTCGTATATTTTTAGAAAATGGAAGTAGAACTTATTCCTCTTTTTTTTGTTTGGATAATATTTGGAAATATTAGTAGGAAGTAACTAATACATGTTGCTTTCATTTTATTCTTTTTTGGATTGTCATTGAAATAGAAATAGAATTGTTGTTAGGTTCAAATTGAGCGTTCCTATTGAAACCACATGACATTGCAAAAATACTTAATATTCCAGATATTGTTTACTAAACATACTCCTAAAACTAAATTTTCTTTAATTTTGATTTGAGTTTGAAAATAGTATCAATATAAAGTCATTCATTGTGAGCTTAGCTCCACTTATTCCTAAAAATATGATGCCTAGTCAAACAAAGGACAAACTAAAGCATTACAACCTAAAGCAGCATCTATTCTTGCTGGGATTACGTAACTATCGTTCACATTTGTGATGATACTATTTACTATCAATAGTAGTTGCGATGGTGTTATCCACTACCATTAATGTGTCACGACGGTTCAAAATGCCCTTCGTTGATGTTTTGACGCTAGTTAACTAATAACACATTCACGGTGATTTTTCCTTCCTTTCGTTGATGGCATGTATGTACATATACACTTCAAAATCTATTGTCTATATATTCATTCGTGGTCACAATAATAATGGACATGAATACCAGTGACAGAGAGTTGGAAAGTACTCCAAACATGCACAAATATACATCTTCGTAGGTTATTCACTTTAACGATTTATATTTCAGTAATCTCAAAACTATCTATGATATGTACATGATATTGTTTGGATTAATACAGGGTTGATAATAGTATACATTAAAAGTTACATGGAAGTCAATATTGGCTCCTTGCTTTCCAGAAAATTAAATCCGGGGGCAATCTGGAGCTTCATACTTAACCCAATGATGATGCTCTATTGATATGTTCTAGACATCAGTCAGAAATAGAATAGTGTCAACTTATCTCTAGATTCTCTACTAATAGAGACTCAAAACTAAGGGATTTAACTTAGATGCACCTCTGATGAGCTCAGAATTTCATCTACTAGATCCATCTTGCACTTCCTGTAGCAAAGGCAAAAGTATGTTTATTACAAAATGATTTGAAAAGACAATATAAGTAGTGACTTCATAACCAAAGTAAAGCTTGGCAACCTCATAGCAAAAGATTCAAATTGCATAACAGTTGGATATAAGATCAAACCAATAAAAACAAATCATTTGAGCTTATTGAAGGTGTAACCAAATGCTCACAAGTTCAGCTAAACATTCTATAACCTTGATGCATTACGTAGGAATTTGTTTTATTCAAGCCTTGCGTATACAACTTTTCCAGTCAATGAAATGGTAGAACAATATTTCTACAAAATAGAACAATATGGGAGTTTAAATTTACAATTCTAGAAATAAAACTACAGAGAAAAAAGTCAACCTTGATATTCTGCAAATCATCTCCAATTGTAATTTAAGTCTTGCCTGGAGTACAGCTTGTCCCCTAATTCTGTCAGATAGGCTAAGTAAATACTAAAAGATACAATCTAATTGAAATTTGTGTCCCTTGGCACTCCATGAAAAATCTTATGACAAGCAAAAATGAGGTATAGACATTCACTTAATCCAAATATGTTGTACAAGTAAGCATCTCAAATGCTAAATAGAAGAAAACTGTTAGCCAAGACAACTGATGGGTTAACGAATATGTAAAATATTGAAGAGGCTTGCCCATATTAATGAGAGAGCACAAGAGGTACAATACATATTTTCACAGCCGAATAAGACTATAAACTAGGTGCAAGAGGCGGAACCATTATCTAGATAAGTAATACTTTGCCTTGATCTTGTTGCATGACTTATCTCATCCCAGTGACATATTTCCTCCGCAATGCATACGCTTAAATTTTTTATATATAATGATTCAAAGCCTCAGGTTAAGGAAATGTTTCCACAACAGATTAACGAACACTACATGT